AGCGATCTATTGATGTTACTTTGTACCAAACCGGATGCCTTACATTGAAAAACGTTAAAGACGAAAACACAGGAAAGTATATTTGCCGGGCTACAAACAGTCTTGGCTTTGCACTATTAACCACAGAAATATTTCTACATCCAGGTTAGGTTAATATCTGTTTATATGGAAAGGGACGGCTAATTTATTCACGCATACATTCATACAATTATCAATCAATCAATCAATCAATCAATCAATCAATCAATCAGTTTTGTTTAGAGAGGGCGACAAATGACAGTAAAAACTGATAAACTAGTGTCTCTTTGTTTATTTATTTTACATCCCGTGTATGTCATTAATTATTCATTTATTTACTTTTTCAAGCTTCCTGCGAGGCAATCAAGAGAAATATAAAGGGTGGTAGCAATGGCAAATACAAGCTGACAATCAATTCTTTCGCCTTCTGGGTAAGTTTAAAAACACGGAAGTGCACACATTAAACATCCTGCAAAAACTATAGATATTCTGATCGAGGTGATTCTTGTAAGATTCAACAAGAGACAATGATCTATTGTCTATTGGGTTCGATTGACTTATTAATTGATCAATTGACTGAATGATTGTCTGACTGACTGACAGTACGCATGATTGATTGATTGGATTGACTGATTGGCTGACTGGCTAAATGAAAGATTGATTGTATGGTTGCTTCACTGACTGACTGAATGATTAACAGATTGAATGACTGATTAATTGTTTGTTTGTCTGCTTGATTGACTGATTGATTGATTAAAAATGGCTGACTGTAGGGATCGACAAACGCCGGTCGCAGACCTATTTGGCAAATCGCTCATATTTTGCCCAAAGATGCCCTTAGTTGACCTATTTCTAATCAAAGTGGCTGTGAGCCTCTGAACTTGGAAAATAAGTTATTAAAGAGCGTTTGAGGCATTGCACATCAAGGAACTTCTTGTGATGTGAGGGCAGTCTAGCTTTCGAACAAGCCTATAAAGCCTTTTCCTATTTAGGGGTGTCTTGCGATAAAATTATTTGCAAAATGAAAAAATTCAACGTTAAGAAACTGTTTGTTACTCCGGCCTGCGTACACGTTTTACATTACATGTATCTGTACATGTCTTCCTTGTACTGCAGTCGAAAACGGCAGGATCATTTTGTTTGGTCAAATGGTATAGACTGAGGAA